CTTCTTCTTCTTCTTCTTCTTCTTCTTCTTCTTCTTCTTCTTCTTCTTCTTCTTCTTCTTCTTCTTCTTCCTCTTCTTCTTCTTCTTCTTTTCTTCTCTCATTCACAGTTATCTAGCATTGTTTTTGCCTTTAATTTTTTTATTGTATATGTGATGTACAGAAGGGTTACAGTTACAGAAGTCAGGTAAAGGTACTTTTCTTTTTGAACAGTGTCCCCTCTTCCCTCATTTTCTCCCAGGTTTTTTCCCTCCTGACCTAGAATCTGTAATACAGGATTATTAATATAGATTAAGAAAAACATTAATTTGTAGATTCACAGATGTAAGTTAATAATTTAAGTAGCCTAATACAGAAAAAATCACTAATTTTAAAATATATTTTATGAGCTAGGCACCAGTGGCTCACATCTATATTCCTAGCTACTCCAGAGGCTGAAGATAAGGGTTCAAAGCCAGTCAAGGCAAAGTCCATTAAACTCTTATCTTCAATTAACCCCTTTAAAAAAGCCAAAACTAGAGCTGTGGCTCAAATGGTAGAGTGCTAGCCTTGAGCAAAAGAAGCTCACTCGGGGACAGTGTCTGCGTGCCTCAGGAAAAAACACCACCAAAAAATACATTCTATATGTTAATAAGAACTATAAAATCAGTATTAGGTTAAAACAACTTAAAGACTATAGCCATTAAGATAAATTATTATAGAAGAGGATGAAAAAATACCAATAGGGAAAGCAGTTTCTATGAAGATATATTTTTATTTATTCGAATAAAATTCTGAGGAGTCTTACTCAACTTGTCCTCCAGTCCCCATCATTACACAAGTTATATTATTAAATTACAAACTGATCCTCAATAGCCACATTCAATTCTCCATATATCCCCCAAGCTTCCCCTACCCACCACTCAGCAGGGCTGAAGAGATTTCAGAAAGAATAAATAAACAGCAAATGAGAACAAAAAGGTGAGGGTACTGTGATTGTATTATTGAAATGGCAAACTGTATTCATCTAAGCATCAGGAAGAGTAAAATAAGCAGTCAGAAATATTACAATTATTTAAGTATTGGTCATCACGGGGGTACCACGGTGACTGCTGAGAGACTGAAGAGAAGCTCATATGAGAAAGATAGTAAAATGTATAACAGTGATATGGCTAACACCCAGCCAAGGAAAGGCCACATGAGATGGTGGCAACACAGATGGAAATGGCAAAGGAGGCCTCAAGAAAAAGGACCTGCTTCTTACCTTTCCTTATTAGGGAAAGAAAACAAAGTGGGTAAACTTGGGATCAGATGCTTAGTTTTTGTTTTGGGTTTTGGTTTTGGTTTTTTTTTTTAATTGTGAAAACACTGTACCGAGGGGTTACAATTACATGAGCAAGGTAATGAGTACATTTCTTATCAAGCCTTGTTGCCTCCTCCTTTGTTTCCCCTTCCCATCCCTTCACATCTTCTCCTCCCCCGTCACCCCCTCTGCTCCCCTTGCACCAAAGTTGTAAAGTCGTTGTAATGTCGTTTTTCGACATAACATCTTGTACATCTCATTGTTGCAATGGGTCCACCTGTATCCCTATTTAAACAATTTGTTTTTTCCCTTCCCCTCCACAAAGTATACCAACATCAAATACAGAGAAAACACGGGTTATACCATGGGGGAGGGACATACAAAGCAACAAAGAAATAATCTTATAAATATGTTAGAAACAATCGCAAGAAAGAAAACCCATTTGAGTCCTTATCTTGGGGTTCATTTCACCTAACATCAACTTATCTGACCATTTCTGCTTGGCTCAGACATATACTAGTTATTGCAAATAAGGTAAATCATGGGACGTATGTTTCTTTGGGCCTGGCTTACTTCACTTAATATAATTTTTTCCAAGTCTTTCCATTTCCTAACAAATGGGGCAATGTCATTCTTTCTGATGGAG